AAAAGACATTAAAAAGTGCAATACAATAGTGCAATAGACACAAATTATTCAAGGACATTTCAGGAGTAAGAAGAACATGTTCACATAAAAAGGATACGATGAAACAGAATGTAAACGGCATAGAGAAATATAAATACGGTTTACTGTAGTGACACACAGAATGCATGCAGACATAGTAATACTTGCTACACCCATGACACACAGATTTCAGATTTCATATGAACACACCCTGGAGACATTACATGGAGGAGCCCCATGCCGAGGCCTGTTGTGAGTACGGAGCGTATCATTTGTGGGCCGCTGCTAAGTGAACACACTTGCCTGCAGTTACCAGGTTTCACAGAAATACGGCTCTGACTTCTCGTGTCGGTGTGGAGCAAGATGGGCCTGATAAGCACTCAGCATTTTGGGGCTAAACCAGTCTGGCTATGTGGATTAGCTGGCGTCACTCGTGTTTTTCCAGTTTCACTGCATCCTCAGGACTGCTGCTGAACATGTGTATTTTGCACAGTATGCTGCACGCGTGTGTTTATCTATCCACTTGTGTTTTTGTCTTCCTGTCTATGCACTGCGGATGGATGTCTTCCCAACACACAGTGGTGACAGAAGTACTCAGATCTTGTACTTGCATAAAAGTACTGATACCGCACTGTGCACTGCAAATACACAAAGTCTATATATACGATACTTTAATCAGTTAATCAAAAAGCAACATTTATTTAAAGGGGACATACTCATTTTCAGTAAGTGTTATCAGCTAAAGTACTTTTTAGTATATTAAATGTAAAAGTACCAAACGAAAAAAAAAAAAAAAAATCTTTAAATGATTTAAAATAAAAATAAATCAGTTTTTGTATAAAATGTTGGCAAATTAAATGTTTTCTTTTAAATCTTCCAATTTGTACATATAATAACTATATTTGTTGGTATCGTGAATTGTCGTGAGGTCGAAGAAAATAAAAATACTCAAGTAAAGTCAAAAGTACATCTAATTTGCACTTAAGTAGGATATTTAAGTAAATGTACTTTCACCACTGCTCAAAAAGCCTATGCTACATCACTGTGACTGACATATCATCATTTTCAAATCTTGGCTCTCTTGCCGTACACATTTTAAAACTGTTATTCAAACAAAGAGCTGCAGTCATGCTAAACCTTACACAGTCACTTTACCAAGCGTTGCCACGGGTTCCTAACACACCTTGTCATAGCAACAGTTGCTATGTTTTGGCCCACCTGTATGTTTGGCCAGTGAGGTAACATGCATGACCACACTGTAAGGTATTTCTTCTTCTCTGTTGTAAAAAAGGGAAGCTATGAATCCATCGGCGCTGCAGGAATACAGACACATTGATCCTTGAGTAAATGTGGCTGAGCTTAGCGAGTACAGGCCGTTCTTGTTATGTGTTGACCCTGCATTCTGACTCAGGGCCTAGTATTTCCAAAACACTCATTGAATTCCATTTATAAATGACAGGCCACAATAACAGGTTAATGGCTGCTGTGTGCTTCAATAACCCACCTGCTGTCTGACTTGCAGCCAATTATTTCCCCTCTCCAGATAAGCAATTGATATAGTCTGTGGTATTTCTGCTAAGGCCAGAGGAAAACATAGTTACCAATGATGTGTCAGATGTAGATGCGGGGATCTAGATCCAACTATGTGTGCACATATCTGTCTAAGTTTGTGCTTTGTTGTGGACAGGGCCTGCTGGCTGCTGGCTCCCAGATGAAAGACATTTCTCATGTTGCTGGTTTAGTGGAGCTCCTGAGTCAGCATGCAGCTACTAATCAGTGTTTTCTCCCGCTCAGCTAGCCTGGCTCTGATCCCCCTACTCTTTGACCTGCAACCATGTTACTCTTACCTGTATGAGTACCAGTTCAAACAGAAGGGATCCAGATACTTGTATTTTATCCCCTTGCTGTCAAGTTCAGAACTACCAGGGAACAATCCAGTGTCCAAAGATATGTCTACAAATGTGATCTAACACTTTATGCCAATGAATGCCCTTTGCAAGTTTAAGATTCTGTGTTCATATGGCTGTTAAAGAAAGATACCAAACCAAAAAATGACAAAATTGTGAGGAATTCAGCACTTAAAATACGACTTGATTTAATGTTCTCCTCTTATGCATTTACTTAAACCCCAGGCAAGTTGAGCTCCTTAGTAGCACAGTGGTAAGAGGCCATCCCATATAACAGCCCTGGACATTATTCCACCCTTTGGAGATCTTTTGCATTTCAAACCCCCCCAAAAAACCCAAGGCATATGACGCTGAGGGTTATGATGACTTTTTATGAGAATTCAAAGATATACTTCATGTGACAACTATCATAAATCATCATCATTATTACATTAAAAAACAAATCAAGTTAAGCAATTAAGTCAAGTCTTTTCCCTTTTTCTCTTCCCTCTTAAGCTAACCTGACAAGTTAAATTGTTCTTTAATGTTCATAGATGGCCATATTTAAACCCTCACCTAATCGTTTGCTGCTGAAGCATAATTGCGCAGCTTTGATACATTAATGAATATGAGTCCAAAGGGATTTCAGTTGTTGTTGTTACCCTGTACCCTGGCACACATGACAGGTTAGAAATGCTGGCTTACATACAGAGATCTGGCAGATACTCGGATAAAACAAATTGGCTCAGCAGGAGAACCTGCACTGAGCCAACTGGTGGTCAATTTCACTAGTTTCTTAGAAGTCTGTCTGCCAGGCACTTTGGCATTGGACCCTTTGTCATGAATCAAAGACATTACGTGATCATAAAATCAGACAATACTGAATTGTCCTAATAGGGGACGAACATTTTTTTGTTTGTTGATATGACATGCACATATTGTAACAACATCTTAATATCTTGAGTCGAGCATTTTGTGTTGACACTGTATTTTGCCAACCAGTGCACCGTAGTCTTCACTGACTTCTCAGCCTTCTCTCTATTTGATACCACACTATTAGATTGAGTATGAAAAAGGGAAGCGTTCTGAAAAAGAAAGAAACAATTAAGTGGTTTGTCAAAGGAAGTGATTAAGGGATGAGTCCTAAAACCCAGAAATGAGTTGGCATGTTACCACTTCGGTTTTTTGTCTCAAAGTCTACCCCACTCATAAATGTCCAAGGCTTCTATGTGTCATTTTTTTCTTTAGCTTAACGGTAGTGATAGGCAGATATAGATTGTATAGGGTAGTGTTACCTTTTTACCAAGTATTATAAAATCCTATGGAGAAATATCTTTTTTGTCGACAGAGCACTTGCAATTCTAACTTCAGGGTTGGCCTACAAAAATATGTCATCACTGCCCTACTCTACTGTCAGCCTGGTTTGTTTTGACAGATTTGTGGTGTAGTCCTGGTCACTTCCCTGACACTAAATCACTGAATAGTGATGATGTTCCTGATCTACTGGCTCTGTAACTGGTCTACAGGAACATTCATGAAATAAGAGTTTCCTTGCCATGTGTTCCCAGCCTTACTCAGTGCATTAGCCTTGTTTCTTGTGTATTTGTATCTGCGTGTAAATGGTCTGTATTAATGTGTACCAGGACACGGCACACTGCACTGGCCCCTGCTTTCCCACTGCACTGTGGTCATACTGTAGCTGTCAGCGGAGTCAGGAGGGAGTGTGAAAGTACAAATTGTTGAGCTACGAGTGAACTGTTTGTTTTATTTCAGCAGGCATTACTCTGTTTCACAGTGGGATCATTTCCTTTTTTCCCAACGCTGGAGGCTCTGTAATGTCACGCCATCAGATGAGTTTAGCTTGATATTTGTCCAGTTAGTTTTGCTGGTGGTCAGCTCCCACACACACCCAGGAAACACCAACCAAAACAAAAAAGGCTGTCTATAGTGGATGGAGATTTTGTCTATCCAAACCGCTTAGTGAATTTGTATGTGAATGCATGCTTGTCTGTAGTGTATACTAATAATGCTACACTTGCTGCTTCATGTAGACAGGCAGTACACTTTTCAAAAATAAAAAGGTCTGTTTTCAGAAAATCAGTGTCAATGTCACCAGTACGCTGACCCTGCTGCCAAATTTAGGTTTGCCATGGCATGCTGGGATCAGTTAACCAGGAAGTGTTTCAATAGCTCTCCACACATGAGGGAAATGCCGACTTAGTCAGCCATAGATGGAATCTGTGTTAGCTTTCGAGTCCGCTTTCCACCAGGAACCATAACTGCAGGCGTAACAATAGCTAGCTTTATCACCCAGCCGCTCTGTGTCCGGGTCATGTGCTCTGAGTGGTCCAGGTGGTCTCTAACAATTTGATAAAGAACATTTAAAATGGCATGGCAGCCTTTCACGTGCTATGGGAATATTGTGGGTTACCACATGACTAGCACAAGGACTTTTCCATAAGCCCAGGTCATAGGACAAGGGTATTTTCCCTTCCTTTTGGGTAACTGTTAGAAAATGCCCAGAGCTTCCATCAGGTCAGGGCAACAGAATTGTCAATCAAAACTCATGGAATTGGTTAGCAAACATGAAAAGCACTGACTTCCTGCTCCTACTGAAAGTGATAGATTTAGCTTGTTTGCCCCTTTCCCCCCTCGTAAACACTCCCAAGGTTTTATTGTGATGTTCTGCTAAGCCAACGTATAAAGTGATCAGTAAATCACCTACTGAGCGGAGAATCCTGAAGCATGTTCTCTGCTTATCAATAGAGCAGCACTGTTTTTCACTTTTTTATCTCAAGTCTAATTTCATGTTCCTTCTACAATCTAGAAGGTGTTAGCAGAATCAATACCTCCTATGTAAAATACTGCTGAAAACAGATGGAAAAAGAGCATCAAATTGTCTTTCTGATTCAATACAATATTATCCTTCCAATCCTGGTTGTTTTTGATATTTCCCTATCAATCATAGCTTCCTCTGCCCTACATTCCCTATATTGTTCTGTGATCTGACTATATATGTGTCTCCTTTGCTTAAGGTCCTTTATGCATCACTTTTGGCCTGTTATATTGAACCTAATATGTTCCTTCTCTCTACAGCTAAACCCTTCACTTCCAAAGTGAAGCAGATGCGCCTGCACAAGGAAGACTTTGAGATCCTCAAGGTGATTGGACGAGGAGCCTTCGGAGAGGTAATATACCTTCTGGTTTTTACACTAAACATGCAGCAAACCTTTACCATACATGGTGAGAACCTGCAATTAGGGTTCCCCTTTTTTCTCTTTTGAACGAGTAGCAGGTGTTAATGGAGGGGCTTTGTACGGATTTGTCGTGTGCAGTGTTATTTGTCTTTCAAATATGGAACTTCTTTCTTAAGACATAGATTTTGCTCTATGATGTGGGACAGTACCTACCAGTAACAATCTACCGTAATTTTCGGACTATAAGCCGCGCCTTTTTCCCCATTTTTCGACCCTGCGGCTTATATAACGGTGCGGCTAATCTATGGATTTTTACAGCTAACGGCCACTAGGGGACCTCCTAAATCTATGGATTTTACAGGTTACAGTCTAACCTCTATGGGCTCTATGGCCGGTCCGCGGTGGGCTCCAGCAGGAAAAGCTAGAGGCCGGAAAAGAGTGAGACAGGTAGCGCGTAAAAGTGGAACCGAGAGTGGTACGGGAGACGGAACGAGAGCAAGACAGACATACATTACGAGAGCGAGACAGTTTGTGCAAAGGTGTTAAACGTGCGCTGGGAGCGCACCGTTTAAGTTTGAAAGTTGAAAAGTTTGTGTGTCTGAAACGCTATGTGATACAGTACAGTTTACACAGCACAGTACATGTTCTGTAGCTACTATTGCACTAAATGCTAACACTTGAATACGTTATGCAAATATGCAACTTGTTTGTTGAAATGTTAATAAATCGGAGCTTCCTCAAACAGCCATCTCTTTCCCGACAATCCCCTCTTTGCACAAACCCTTACATATGGTAATTAAACATTAAAACACCTGCGGCTTATAGTCCAATGCGGCTTATATATGTACACATCATTCAATTTAGCTGCTGCGGCTTATATTCAGGTACGCCTTATAGTCCGAAAATTACGGTATATTCTTTTATACCTTAATGCCCAAGCAATAAGAGGCAGTGTTGTTGTATTTCATAGGAGATTACCTTCTGCTGCATTCCAGCAGCAGTGCGTAGTATTGCTCTGCTGCATGACTCTACTTGCAGCTTAAACACTTTTTAATTCTTATTTCACATTTAACCCATGAGCAGAGATTACAGTGCCAGTGAAACCATCTAGTTTTGTTAGTTTCAGCTTTTGCATGCCCGTAGGGAGGTGGAAATACATGTGTCGCTTGGTTTCAGGTAATGATGTCAAAGCTGGGGAATGTCGGTCGAACAGGTATTGTGGTCCTCGGGCCAAGACGGGCCAAGACTCTTACATAAAGTCAGTATCCTGCAAAGACATAGCTGACTTTGTGCAGAATTGCATTGAGAATCTCCTTTTTTCTCAACACTGGAGGCTCTGTAAAGCAATGGCAACCAGATGAGGTTAGCATGATGTTTGTCCAGTTAGGCTTTGCTGGTGGTCAGCCCCCACACTCACCCAGAAGACACCAACCAAAACAAGACGGCAAACATCAAAAGGAATTTGTATGTTAAAGCCTGCTTGTTTTTAAGCTAATAATGCTAAACTGGGCTAGTCTTGCTTCTTAACTTAGACAGGCAGTATACTTTTCAATACTTCCAAATATTTTATCTCCGGAAGTGTTATTCCCTATCTGTACAAACAAGTTAGTGAATTCCTGAGGTGTTTTTCCCCACTCTGATTGGTGGAGAGAAATTAAGAAAGTGATAGATTGTTAGATGAAGACTTGGACACACCTGCCAGCATGTAGCGGCAGTACCAAAACATTCTAACCTGCTCACATGAGCCTCTGCAGGGAGGGCTGGTATGTGCATGTGTGAATCGTGTGTGTGTGTTGTGCTCAGCAATGTGGTGTGATCCATGAGTTGTGCTACCTTGTGGTAACATTCCAGAGCCTTTTTTGCCGTCACATGGCTCCTATATAAAAATCCTTTCAGTGTGTTGCGATGTGGATGTTACTGTTATGGTGTAGTAAACAGACATGGGGAAATAGTAGCAGAATAAGAAGATCTCTAGCTGGCTGCCAAAGCTAGATGTCAAGTTGATATTGTTGGACAACTTTTTATTAGTGGCAGACGTTTCATAATATAATATTTAGCTTATTTTACATATAAACTAAATGATAAGTCTCAACACACCATACGTGTTTTCTTACCTTACCAGTAATTGCCGCGTCGATATATTTGATCAAACTGTTGTTTTTGTTGTGAACAGTTTCACACTGAAGGTAAATGTTACATGTTGAAAAAGCAAAACAAAATCTAGAACAACGTAGATTTTTGTGAAGTTTGCATTGCAAATAAAGACATAGCCAATCACGGAGCCAAGGGTTATGACTTGATGATTACAAAACAACATCACGCCATGACATGGAGCCTGTGTAGTTCGAACCGACATGGCAAATTCTATCACTCATTTCAACTTGAATTCATTGCATTCCAGGTCCACGCCTTCCGTTCCTGCCTTTAACAGTAAAAGCCCTGAACATAAATGCTGCCCTACCAGAAAGTACTCAGAAAGTAATCAGAAGGTACTCAGAGAGTACTCAGAAAGTAATCGGAAGGTACTCAGAGTACTCAGAAAGTACTCAGAAAGTAATCAGAAGGTACTCAGAAAGTACTCAGAAAGTAATCAGAAGGTACTCAGAGAGTACTCAGAAAGTACTCAGAAAGTACTCAAATTCACCTTTTTTTTGAGCAAATTTGCCAATTGTCGCAATTTCACATGCTATTTACATTTGTTTAGTTTACTTGTCATACCCCCAGTGTGTAAATGCCTCAAGTCAGGACTAGTTCAAATGTTTCTTTACTGCATTCTGACAACACACGTTCAAAAGCACTGCTACCATAAAGCATATTTGCGAGTTTTTCTTTATGGCCGTTGGCATCATAAAGCTAGGAAGGCTTACTATATTCAAGTCAGATGATAGTAAAACCAGCCATCTAACCTCAGGTCGGACCAAGCAAACATGGAAAATGTGTATTTTGGAAAGGCGTCGTAAAAATTCAAAAGACCAGGTATTATTTCTCTGTAGGAAGTTTTGAAGAAAACTGAACACAGACCTGAGACTAAGATATGGGAACAAAGAGTTAAAAAAGAGACAGACGGAGAAAGAGACCCAGATGGGCAGACACAGGAAAACAAAGTCAAGAAAAATACTTGAGTCAGAAAGAGAGGAGAGATCCTGAGTGCAGGATGTTTTGATTTCATCCTCCCATTGTCAGCAGCAGGCGGAGAAGTGGTGCGGGTGGGTGACGCTGTGGAGCTGCTCTGATGAATGGCGCAGTGTGTGCTGGCCTCCTGCCTCTGAGAATGCCCCCATTACGACAGTGTCCCCTCGCCACCAACACAAACGGGCCCAATGGTTCTCTGTGGATAGTGTTTGAAACAAACAAAGCCAGGGTTACAGGTTCTACTCCCAGAGGTGTATGTCATTCTCGGTCATGGGCCATCAGTCACTTCTACACCAGAAGATAGCATCGCAAAGGCTAACACGCCAAAAAGCAATTGGATATTTCTATTGGATCTCTGAAAATTGCTACAAATATTTGTCTAACACATGTGTATGATACTAGATAATATATTAAAATGCAATCTCCAATATTAGGCTATTAATGGACACAATTATAGTCAAATGGCTGCGCTAAGCTAAAGGCAGACAGTATGATGATGTTTAAACAAACGCTGTCTTTATGTCATGAAATAAAACTTTAGACAATCACGGGTGGGGTATTTACTGACATCTTTTTTGTTTCATTTGGCAAAACGTGAAAATCTCTTAAACGTTTATTAGCTACATACTTTATTTCAGGGATCTAACCAAAAATACATTAAAAAAAAGACGTTGACTTCAATACAATTGAACCACAATCTGTTAAAATGCTAACTCATTTTCAGGTTTTAGGACTCATTCCTGCACAACTTGTTGCATTGGGTCAATAAACACATCACTCTAGTCAGAATCCAAATGCATGTAAAAATGGCGTTGGCTGTTAAGTGTGTCAGTCCTGTGGCCATTATAGCAGATGGTGTGTTTTTAAACTGTCATCACTTCTTGGCCTGTAGTACAAATATATAAACTGCTGTAGTTTGCTTCAGGTTCCAAACCACATTTGAAGACTCGGTTGACACTCTTAACTAACAGTAAAAGAAACCGCAGAAGTTGAAAACACATCCTTTTATCTATGAATACGTGTACGGGAATAGTGAAGTAAACTCCATGTTAAGTATTTTCTTGGCCGATAGGAAGATGAAGGAAGAAACAGTGGAGAGAGATGGTGAAAAGGACAAAAACAACCAGGCATTGCCAAGAACAGTACCCCCCCCCTGTCCTCCTCTCTTCCTCTTCTGTTCCTCCTCTCCTCTCTGGTGAGGGATCACTAGGGGAAATCCAAACACTGCAGGAATGTTATCATTGTATTGCATTAGCAGCATTCCCTAGCTCATTTCATAGACTACAGACCCCTCTGTGGCATAAGGCGCCTGTTTGTTTCACTTCTCCTCCGTGTGTGTGTAAATCTGTTTACTTGTGTTTATATTTTCCTTCTTTTCCTTTTTTCTGTTTAAGGAGGTCAAATTGAAAATTGCAATATAATGAGCTTAAAGAAATTAGCAAGTTTGCCTGAACATGTGTCTGGCTGTCTGCTTACAGTGCTTTGTCACAGCAGCTTCTGCAGCTCCTTTTTTGGCAAAATGTGAAGCCGGAGCTGCGGAAGTTTGTCATGGCAATGATCAGTTCAGGGGTAGTTGGCAGTCCTTACTTCGTGAAGACAGTACAAGAGAGCATGAGAAATACAATCTCTGAGAGAGAAAAGCTGAGAAGTTTAAGAAACAAGCTAGTATTTTAGTAATTTAGGTTTTTTAATGCGTTTTTGTCAGTCATAAGGCCCGTGGTTAATACAACCTTACAACATTTTGATCCACTACAGAAACAGCAGTTGCTTACACGTGACCAAGTGAGACTACCAAACATCATCATGCCGAACATTAGCCGCCTTTAGCTTAGCGGCAATGGCGTGACGTTTGTTTTGTTTGTTTGTTTATATTATTATCTAAACTTTTTACACTTGGCATGCTTCACATGTTTTAAAAGTGGTGTCAATATTTGGAAATGATCGTATTGAACAAAACATGTAGGTATAACAAATGTGTGTTTGCCACAGATTTTAGTATCTTCAAATTCAAGAGAGTAATGGGAAAACCACCTTGCTTTTAGCCGATTTCATGATACACTACTAGATAATATCGTCTTGTATTTTGGATATCTTAACATTGTAATATTGCATAATTGTTGTCTTATCCTAATTTTTTAAGGATTTTAGTTTCACATTAATACAATTTTCCTTTACACGATAAGTCATTTGTTTATTCAAAGCACCAACAGTCAACTCAATGATTTCATCAAAATATGGAAAAAGAGGTATTTAGTCAAAACATATTTTAATAATTATTCCATATCGCCCTGCCCTAGTTCCAACTATAAAACGGTTATTGTGTAAGTTATAGGTGTGGACTATATTGAATAAAAACAAGTTTATGTGTAGTTGTGTCTGATGAAAACCATATGTGAATTTCTACTTTCAGATCATGTGTATGTGATCTTAAATGAAAAAAGGATACATAATTTCAGCTGATTTCCTTTTAAAGGTTATAAGATATTCATATTAATGGAAACGCATACATTGAATGGCTTATCTGAGATTCTGATAGTTAAGGCCACATCAATAATCTGTGATCACTTCCTTCCAAAACCTCCAAATCACTTCAAATCTGTCCATCCGCTATTGATGTGTTCCCATTTACAAATCATTGCACACAGTGATTAGAGCACTGTTCCAGTTTTCCCAAACTGCAGACTCTGTATGTAGGAAGCATGAATCATATTTAAGTGTCCAGCTGTTTAAGAGGAGGGATGTGGATCCAGGTGGACTGCATCTGTTGGTCAGCACTTCAGTATCCGTGGTCACTTCCTGTCGCTTCTGTTCCCTTCTCCTTCTTGGCATACTCTGCTTTCTCCTTATTGTTTTTTTTTTTTTTTTACCTCAGCTTCTCTTTGCTGCCTTCTCTTTTCCCTCCGTTTCAACCACTGTCCTTATCCAAAAGAAAATGTGTGTTCAATTTCAACCATGTTTTTGGGTACAGCTGACTAGGCCTGTCACGATAATTAATTGTGTTGGACGATAAATTTTTCTGGAAATTATTGCGATAAACGATAATATTGTCGGCACCGTTTTAAGACCATTTTAGACATAATGATAATATATAATAATAATTCAAGTACATCCTTTCAAACATAACTTTTTATTGAACATTCAACATTGCAAATGAAATGTGAAATAATATTAAAATATATAAATTATATATAATAAATAAAACCAATTAATTAAATTATAATAAATTAATTAAATCACACACAACCAAAACAATAAATTAAATAGAGNTGTAATGTTAATCTTTACATACTTTGTTCACAAAACTGAGGCTGGCCATTTTCATCCACCACCACAGCAGTTGTAGGGGGAATGGGCTGATGATAATATATAATAATAATTCAAGTACATCCTTTCAAACATAACTTTTTATTGAACATTCAACATTGCAAATGAAATGTGAAATAATATTAAAATATATAAATTATATATAATAAATAAAACCAATTAATTAAATTATAATAAATTAATTAAATCACACACAACCAAAACAATAAATTAAATAGAGTCAGACTGGAAAACAGAGCTCTCTCTCTCATATATATATATATATAAAAATAAATATAAATATGAGCACACATTATCTCACAAGCAAAAAAAACCTTCCTTAAAACAACAGTCAAGTGTACAGTCCACTGTCAAAGACCCAGATGCCTCAACAGGCCATATCCAAATCTGTTTTTCTAAGTTTTCGAGCAAGGAACACCAACATGTTTGCATTGTCGGGCGGGGGCTCTCCATCTCCAGCTGCCGTGTTTGCTCCCAGCTGGGAAAACGGAATGGGGTGGTTGTGTTTTAGGTGGTTTAAAATGCGTGGTATTGCCTGCTTTTGTCGCTACCTTTTTTAAACCAATGCGACACACCGCCCGGCTCATTCAAGTCCGTAGGTTCGCCTCGTTGATTTGGTTTGAATCCAAAATACTGCCACACCGGAGAATCGAGATGTGTAGTTAGGTTTTGTAACCAATTCCATTTCACTTTAAATTCCCCGCGAGTAAGTCACACGTTGTCTCCCGCTTGTCGCTATATTATTAATTTGGCTGCTACGCTGCTGCACGTGCAAGCGGAGTGTCCTGACCTGGCTGTGTGTCAGCCCCGCCCCTCACAGCGCGCCTGGCAGCCACAGCGCTCCAGGCTAAAATGCTGGTCACATCTTTATGTAACGGCAATTTATCGAGCTCAGAAAAGTTATCGAGTCCATTTTTATTTATCGTACGATAAGTCAATTTATCGATTATCGCGACAGGCCTACAGCTGACCTTTCTCCAAATACTCCTAGACCTTATCTTTTATTTTTTTATTTCCAACCCTTTCTTCCCGTGCCAGTGTGAATATGCTGAGATGATCCCCCTCTTGTTTTTATATTGCTCCACCACAACACCAAAAAAAAAAAAGGGCGGTTATGGCTTTCTTATTCAAAGAGTTTAACCTTTCTATTCAATATGAAGACTATTTTTGTTGTTTTCTGAACGAAACCTTTGTTGAAAAATGATTCCACATGAAATGTCATTGTGCAGTCCTTGCGTTTCTGTTTCCTGTTGCTTTCAAGGGTAACATATTAAATCTGTCAGTCTGTGTTCGTAACACGGGTCACATTCTTCGTCTGGCGTTGTTGTCACTCGTGTGATTAACGTCTTTTTAACACTACAATTCTTTCTCCCTTTTTGCAGGTTGCAGTTGTAAAAGTGAGAAACACTGACAAGGTATTCGCCATGAAGATCCTCAACAAGTGGGAGATGCTGAAGCGAGCCGAGGTAGGCGTCACACACTTACAAAGATTTGTGTTGGGCTGCACCAATCCTGCTGCCTATTATGGATATGGGGCATGAATATATAAAGATAACTGGATACAGCGTTGGAGGCGGGGCTCTGGTTATTCATACGAAGGTTGCCAAGTGTCAAATAAGGCTACAATTACTTCATTTGAATCACTCTTGAAAATATAAATTACATGTCACTTGTTAGATGCTTTTATCCAAAGCGACTTACATACTCAATTCTGTGGGCAATCCCCACAGGAGCCATTTGGGGTGAAGTGTCTTGCCCAGGGACACAACGACATGCTGACTGCAGTGGGGTTTGAACCTGTTTGAACCCGAACACCAACGCTCAACCCACTGCACCACACACCGGCTATTTTCCAAATCCTACACATGCAACCTTTAGTTCTCATTAAGCCCAGCCTTATATCCACTACATCACGTCCCTCTCTGATCAGTCAAAGGATTGGGAAATCAACTAGGCATATGACCAACACATTTTACACAAGCAGGACATGCATTTAAAGAAAGGCTAGTAAGGTTTTCAGACTGCAAAGTTAATTTACCAAGGCCCAAGGAAGTGAGCCGGACTTTGAAGTACATTTTTGTAGGCCAAACAGTGTTACTACACCCCCTCTACATTGGGAAAGACATGCCTGTAAATCAGCAGATAATACTTTTTTAACTAAACCAGCTTCCCAGCACTAACACTTTTGTAGCCCATTAGGGTCTAAACGTTGTAAAATGCGCTAAAAGCCGAATCCAGAGTTATTTTCGCTCTGTATTAGGTGCTGTTTACACGATAACGCAAACGGTTGTATCCGCAACTTTTGTATCCGGGTACTTTGCTCTTGAGTCAGACCGTTTTGGCTTCATGCGCCACTGAGCAACTCCCGTAGGATTGAACAGGGCCCTACCTCACGCTGTATCCAGTCGTCTTTATACATCCATGATTTCCACACCCTGCTCACTTACTGGGGGCTTGACACAGCACCATGCTGCAGTATTGGGGAAATCTTTGCGGGAAATGATAAGGATTTCTGATTATTTAAAGAAGTGTTTGCTCCACTATCAGCACTCTGATAGGCGTTCACTGAGAGATGTTTGCAGAACGTGTTGCTGCTTGAGCCTCTGGAGCTGCCGCTGCATGTTTTTCTCATCGACCTCTTCCTGACAGTCTGACATTCCTGTTGGTCCCCTGGGCCTTCAATCTTCATGCCTCATACGTCACTGTGTGTGTGTGTGTGTGTGTGTGTGTGTGTGTGTGTGTGTGTGTGTGTGTGTGTGTGTGTGTGTGTGTGTGTGTGTGTGTGTGTGTGTGTGTGTGTGTGTGTCAATGTAGAGCAACAGATGTACTGTAGACAGTGCACGCCAAGCATGTAATTGTCGCTGTAGACAGAGAACATCAAAGCACTGAGCAAGTATCTTAAATACTGACATTTAGCAGAGTTTCTTCCCTTTTCAGAGCAAGATTAGTGGCCGTATTTAGTCGTGGCATTGATTTGTATTAAGTGATCCATTTACTAGAGCTCTTTCCCAAAATAAACTTTCTTTAATAATTACAACTTGTCAATGCGTGCCTAATTAAGTGTGCAGCAAGAATCAGAATACTTTATTTGTCCCTAGGGTAAATTGGGTTTTGAGACAGTTAAGATTTAAATAAAATAAAAGATTTATAGAAAAATGTAATAAAATATTTCCACAAATATAGGGAATTAAACTAAGAAAATGCAATAAAATAAATTAAAGATATTTAAATAAACACAATTTGAAGTAAAAACTAAAATATCCAATAAAGAAAAACATAACATATTTATAATATTTCCTTGGATAAAAACGTTTTGTTCATTTTAACACTTTTATAGTAGAGTTTTATTTTGGTCATAGCGTTTGGATGGACGGTGCTGTTATGTCAATTGTCTCATTTAAACGTATTTAAGTTTTACTTTGTCAGTTTAATCTTAAACCAAATCTTTATTTTACTTACCGTGTTACTAAAGCTGTCTAGGCCTTTCACTTTTGAAAAAGTGACCTCATGACCTAAGTCTGTTGATGAACATTAAATCCAATTTCTCTTGTGTTAATCAGGTTTGAATCATTGAAGGGGCTATCTGTTTAATATGGCTAAGATGTGATATTGCAGAAAGCTTACAAGACCTAGGTAAGTTAAATAAAGGACTCAAAGATGAGCAAGCAATCTATCTCCATTCCAAGCCTGTAGACGTTCGACCTCCTAATGGATGGGGCCAACACTGTCACACTGTTGCCATGTAGGGTTACATGACATTGATAGGAAATCATCCACGTTTTTCTTCTCCCGCTTATCCGTGGTCGGGTCGGGGTTTTTTCTTCCCTTCTACTCTAATTGGTATACGTCTCTGAAGTAACATTGAATTTGATGAAATAAACAAAAGGCTTGCCCAGAGAACTACACTAATTATTCTCTGCTCGAGGGTTAAAATGCATCGCTGTTGTGCAACCTTCTAATCTTAATGTGTTCATTACATTTCTGTTTAGACGGCGTGTTTCCGGGAGGAGCGGGACGTGTTGGTGAATGGGAACTGCCAGTGGATCACCACCCTGCACTACGCCTTCCAGGACGACAATAATCTGGTAACACAGTACTCCATTTCTTCTTCTCCGTGTATTCATGAGCAGGAAAACATTTATTTTTCCACCAACCACCATAATTGTATTTCCAGAAGTCCCCCTGCCATGGGTTTAACCTTAACTTCTCCCAGTGAACTTTTAACATGTATTATCCGATGACTCCGTTTTCAGTATCTTGCTTCAAATATTTCAGCACTTTGTACTTTCCAAAATCACAACCACATTTCTACTGAGCGGCTCCACCTGCCAGTTCATTTATAGAAAACAGCACCACCTCTGCATGATGGCTGGTGACCTGCCAAACGCTGACCAGCACATTCACTCCTCACCACAGAGCACAATATGACTTAGAATCGAAGGAAGTTGAGCAACAGATGTGAACAGGCCAAAAAACATTTACGCAAAAAAGCAAAAAGAAAGAGCTGGCAGACCAGTTCTTCTCCGCTCCGATTGGCTGCTGGAGGCATTCGTCTCTCCCTGTGACCCTGAGTTCAAATGCCAGGACTGCTCGTCATTCCATTTCCCACATTCTCACAACAAATGCTTCACCCTGGACACTCCCCAAGGCCTTAAAGATACTCAGCATGGCCCGTACAGCCGTCTATTTTTATGAAAAAGCTTGCAAACTTTAGAAGCATTTAAGAGCTGGCTGCCCCTCTCTAGTAATGATACTGTGAGCAAAAGGGAGAGAGGACTGAGAAAGGCGAGGCCAAGAAGGGTGGTATATGTTTGACTTTAGTCTATGAAACTCTAGTGTTGTTTTCTACATACAGCACCTCACTGTTTCACGCTTCACTAATATTGATTCTATTCTCCGCCCAAATTCATTTCTTTCCCCGTAGCTGTCATTATCTCTGCTAACTCCCAGAGGGGACCACGTGTTGGGTCACATGTGTGTCTGTCTGCAACTAATCTTGCATACGGCTTGATCCATCAGCCTAACATTTTTTGTGCACATTTATGACTGCATGCTGAATGAACTCTGGTGGTTGTGGTGTTTCACAATTTTTGAAAAACATAATTGGGTTGACTGTTTTGTTCTGTCTTTCTCTGCTGTCTTTTTGCTTCTCTTAAAGTGCCGGTACGCGCCACAAGTAATAAACAACCGCTTTAGCAGCAAAAGGAATTTCTGGCAACTAGCCAGGCTAAAAACAAGCATTAGCTAGTCTGTTGTAGGCCACATTCTTATCTTTGTCAAGGTTTAAAAGCTAAACTCCATAGAAAAGTCTGCTTTTATTATTAACTAGATCATATGCAGATTAATTCAGTACCCAATTTGTTATTATCCACTTAAGTTCGGCACAACTAGAGATTAACAAATCCCTGTTTGCTTATATTTGCCACCATTTTGCCTAAAAAAAGTCACTGGCACTCAAAACCAAAAGCGGCATTTGAGCATACTGAAAGGACTTCAGCCATCTATCACATGAGCTCTGCACGTGGGTAAGAGGAAATAACTCCATTATGGCAGGAGGCATTAGTCTACACAGGAGCAACTTAGGTCTGTAGATATAAGCAGCATTTGCTGATCATAACTACTTTCTTTTCTATTTACCGTCTGTTCGTTCTCTTCCCTGTGCACTGATTCCCTTATTCTGAACAATTAAACATGTAGAATCGGCTTTGAGGTCAAGGCAAAACAGTGTGAGACGAATCCCAAAAACTAAGCCGAAAAACGCTCAGCAACAGACAGCTCCAACTTGGCCACTAATCGGCTTGTTGTTTTTGGGCTTTAAGAAAGCTGGAAAGTGACAATTAAGTGAGGAAGAACCGTACTGCATTTTCATAGTTGGCATTTTGTCTAATTTCTCTCTTTCTGTTTGTATCTTTGTCTCTCCAGTACCTGGTCATGGACTACTATGTGGGTGGTGACCTGCTGACTCTGCTCAGTAAGTTTGAGGACCGGCTGCCGGAGGAGATGGCTAAGTTCTACCTGGCTGAAATGGTGCTGGCCATCGACTCTGTTCACCAGCTACACTACGTCCACAGGTGAGGAGCAGGCAGAGTGTGATTCCATGTTAGGAGGTGCTACTGTGTTTGTGTCTGTAATCATTCAGAGGGAGGAACACACTGAGCATTAGGTCCTGATGATGGATGTTCTGTGGATTCACATTATTATTGCTGTGTGGGCAATTCTCCTGCAGGGGTGAGAAGCTAAATGAAAATCAGATGAGTGAGCGTGCACATGTTTGACTTCAGTCTTCACTGAAGGTGGTCAATACCACTGACTAATTAGAGTATATTAGTTTGTGTTCCTCCGTGTGTTGTTATTTCGCACTTGAGCATTCACATTGGGGTTTGTGTGTGAGAGGCTTAGGAAATAAGTGCGTTGCTGGAAGATATACTCATCATTCCCTTCATTAATCATCCACACAACATGTTATTACAAGAAAAGGTCCTGGATCTTAACTTCTACTTAAGTAAAAGAGAAGTAGTATGAACTAAATATATAGAGTATACATAGAGTGGCTATAATCATTTGTGGTATACCGGTAATCTCTCCAAGTGAAAACATGCGATAATGTGAAATGTGTTACTCGTAATACAAAAAACCCCACTGATGATAAACACCTGATTCTGCTCATCTTCAGAGATTCAAAGTGGGTTTTATGCTTTTAGTTTAGCTGAAAAGGTTCTACAAACATGCTGTGCACTACCTGCTAAGCACCAAACAGCAGACAGACATATTTCAAAAGAATCTGGGGAACATTTAGTGGCTAAATAGCCTAAAATCCCAGCTAAAAGACAGAGAAAATTGAACTTACAGTGATCAGGTGGTGAGAAACACTTCGCCTGGTTACCCAGTCACTTTATTTGAAAATAAGGAATTGCTAACGTGTTAGCATGTCAACTAATAGGTGATGGTACATCAGCTGTCCCAAAGTTGCAACAAAGGCATGTTACTGGTTTAAAGCAACAAACAGCCTAAAACAGTTTGTTCACACCCTGCGGAGGTTTTCCTGTAGATGTTTGAATAATTTGTCAGCCAACAAAAGATGCCCTTGGGAACAGGACATTTGTCTTTGCCAGACAGGAAGTGATCACATTGGCATGTTAACACAATTACAGTGTTGCTGTCGCCAGGGGAATTGCACAGCAATTTAGTTGAAGAAGCAAGGCAGGGTGAGATAAACGGAGTGACAGATGAGAGATGGATGAATATCGAGGGAGGGGTCAGATCAACGGTTCGATAGCTCCGTTTTGGGTGCGTCTGTTGTTACTCTGATCTCTAATACGCCGCTGCAACATGAGACTGAGAGAAACCTACTGAGAGGCGAGTTCTTCAGAGACCTAGATATAAATGTATAAGTAAAGAAAGGGAGTGAGAGAGAAGAGAGTAGGGAGCCACTAATTGCATGGTGTTATCTGGGGGCCGGTGGGGGGGGTTGGTGGTGGCAGTGGAGACGGAATAGTACATGGAAGAAAAAAAAGACGGGGAGGAGGGGACAGTTTCTCTTTGACTCTCCTCGTGGACGCTTCGGGACAGTAATGATATGGTATGGGAGGTGTGTGGGTGGGGGTGTGGTGCCGTTACCTCCCCCCATGGACCAACCCCTCAACTACTCCTGTGTTCTCACTTACACACACACTCGTGGGAGATTGCTGTGTAGAGGGTGGAGACGGCCAGGTCCCCTGAGGAGGGTGTGTCCTGCAGGCTGAGCCCGTCTGATGAGTGACTGCGTATTTGGGTGCATAACCTTCAGGGCGTGTTTACCCCGGTGACGGTGCACGAGTTTGGTCTGTTTCCAATTCTTGTGACTGAGTTACAATACAATGCAGCAGCCTTGTAAGTGAAAAGCTCTAATAACGTAAAAAAAAAAAAAATGAATTCATGGCTCACTTTCTGTTACACAAAACACACGCAACCACTTTTGGAAATACAAATAGGCAATACCGTAGTTTTCTCTTAGGAATTACAATTGTTAGTGGTCGGTGGGTCTACTGGGATCATTTAAGGTCTAATACTAACTCTACTGTGACCCACTTTAAAGACGATCTACTATTCTCAGGTTTATATTAGTATGTTGTGCCTCTACTGTGACATGTTTTCAAGCTTTAATGTTCAAAAACCTCTTTATTTTTCTCATACTGCCTTTTCACCCTCTGTCTGAAACCAGAGCCCAGCCTGCTCTGATTGGTTAGCTGGCCGGCTGTAGTTCTTTAACAAAACAAACTACACAAGCCATCAAAAGCTCCTTTGGGTTCAACTGGGAGAAGTAAACACTTTTAGTGCTGACCAGCTCTAACAGACTCACTATGCACCAGCAGTGAAACTTAATAGCCTAGCTCCATTAAGGCTACTAGTGACTAATAATGCAACAGTCTGGTGATCATTCAGGTTTCTCTGGAATAGCAGTATGAGCTCACTTACTCAAACATTATGTCCAGAAGGAAAAAAAGAGTCTTATATTCTGGCTGATATGGTGGCCTAGATGTTCACCTTTTTGTTTAGTTTGTATGCTTTAAAAAAGAAAAGAAGCTTGAGAAGGAAGGAATATTTTATTTTATATATTTTTTTTCATCATTCATTTACCAGACAGGGTGCTGCAATATGTTTATAACACTTCCCAATGTTATGCCTTAGTGATGCAATAGCTGTTAGGTTTACTCTTCCATTGTCTGTGTATTTCATGCCACTGATTACCGACCTGCCTTATTCCACCATTGCAGTCAAATATATTAAAGGGAGGGCTACCTTGGTAGAAACTACATGGCTGATTGTGTATTGAGTATATCATTGTATTATTACCCCGTATGTCTAAATTAAGAAATTTTAGATCCCCTAATGCGTAATATTTTTATTGTGCAGTCATTGACCTTGCCACAACGTTGGCCCATTTTTAAATGAATATTTGCAGTCCTGTTGACACTGATTAAGTTGAAAAGGGCCCAGATGAAAGAAATGAAGAGAGAAGAGCCTTGAGGTCAACCTTCTGAACCCTCAGCTGAGTCCCACGAGAGGCAGTGTGCGTTAAGGCCCAGATACACCGGCCCGACAGTTGAGAAGTCGCCAACGCCGACACCGACTGTTGCGTCGCCGGACTCTCCTGCGTATTTGCCGACTTCGCGCACTGCAACACACCGCAAATCCGAGCCGAGCACGTATGAACTGCAAATGCGTGAGTGGCAATAACTCTCCTTACCAGCAGGCGGCAGTAGTGTGTATTCATCATTCAAAAGAGGCAACAACCGGAAGACAGAGAAGAAGAACAGACTCCATGATATAAACAAACAACAAATAGCGTTTTTCTTTCCATTTTCACTCTCGTCCATTGAAAACATGAACGAACAGAAGCTCTATAAACCGATGAGGTGAAATAGCCGTCCGTGTGTGTTCCATCTTCCATTTTAAATCATTTGTTTACCTCCCTCACTTCCGTTAACGCTTCTCATGCACTGATTCGCTAGCTGAACAGCCAATCAGTGTTATCCCTTTGTCCGACTTCCGGTGCTGTTCCCGACGCCGATTCAACAGGCGTCAGGTCGGCAGAAAAGACCCGACGGTGTGGCGCACACCACTCCGAATAGGGCGTGCCCACACTCATGTTCGGCCCGACTCCCATTTCGTGTGTGTGTGTGTGTGTGTGTGTGTGTGTGTGTGTGTGTGTGTGTGTGTGTGTGTGTGTGTGTGTGTGTGTGTGTGTGTGTGTGTGTGTGTGTGTGTGTGTTCATTTATTCAGTAGTCAGTGATCTGCATGGCCTCCCCGAGGGGCCTGACTAACATTTCAATGGGCCAACTCAGCATGGCTTTGTGCTGCCTAGCACCACATCTGTCTGCCACGAGTGTGTGTGACACACTCTGTGAGATTCTGGTGAGTGAGGGTGGAGGTGGGGGTTGGTGCAGAGGGACGGCAGTGTGAATGGATCGAGAGAGGGGCAGATTTGTTGTCATGGAGAGAGGAAGACGAATTACCACTCACTTAAATGAAATAAGATGCCTGTGACAGTGTGACGGCTCGCGTCTTTTCTGAGTGTGGTCTTACTACAGTAGAATACTGTGTGCTCATGTGAGCCATGGTGTGTGTTTTCCTATTGATTGCAGCCTTTGTGTGATTTATTATTGATCAGCGCCATGTGTCTCTACACAGCTGAGTGATCTAAGAGAGGATCGAGCTCTCTTTCTTTCTCTCTAGGTCCTACACCATCCATCCACCTGTTTTTATGCACACTTTCGTGACAATAAAAGACAAATAAGACCTATTGTAACAAAACACAATTTAGTGATTAAACTATGAAGCATGTGAGTTCAATGTCAAAACAAAGAAAGAATAAAGAGATGGAAAATAATTGCAGATTAAATTGACCCTATTAGGCTTTTGGGGGTTTTCCTTTTCCTGTAGTGTGCTCTATAGGTTTTTATGCATGTAAATGGTCTGCAAAGGCTAACATCAAAAAGCCTTGTGAGTTTCTCCCCCCCCCCCCCCC